GTGTAAAAGTTAAAAAAGAAAATTCGATTCGTTAGAAGAAAAGTTTTCGCTAACATCGTCGTCGTTTATTCAAGAGAACAGGAGAGAGAAAGAGATAAAGAAAAAAACAAGAATAAAAAAAAAAAAAAAAGAAAAAAATATACAGAAAAGCTTCGTAGTTGAAATCGTAAGACTTCGAACGGTCAACGATTCCTTCCTTCGACGTGCTCCATATTCGCCTAACTAACTTACTAGTTCGCCCCGATAAAAAAAGGAGGACATTCGAGTCGTATACTTGACCTCTTTATATAATTCTTAACGAAATAAAAAAGAAAAAAAGACAAAATAAAAAATGTATATATCTAGCATATATTTTCAAAAGATACCACGTGGTGATCGACGAACATGTACTTTTTATAACAAATTTCTTCTCTCAAGATTAACCAAATAATAAGAACAAAAAAGAAAAAATGTAAAACTATCACACGAGTTATTAGAAACTAGTTTAAAAAAAAGAAAGAAAAAAAAACAAATAAAAGAGTACGTCAAGTTAACGATCTCAAATAAAAAAGTTAAATTATTAATATGTAAGTTAGTAAAAAAAAAAAAATATATATATATATATATAAAAGATTTATTCACTTACTTGGAACAATTTTTTTTCTATCTTCCTGTCAATCCTTTTTTTTTTTATTTTCCTGATGAACGTTGCTCGTAGAGAATTTCCTTGAATCTTCCTCTCGTACAGTTGTAGAATTAGATGCAGTTTAGATGCAGCTGAAATTCCTTGCAGTAGTCGAGTGTAATATAATTTATTAGATGGGCAGTAATTAAAACGTTCTAACGTGACAACACGTGTAAACATAACATCTAATGATACTCGAGAATCATAACCGCACGAACACAATATATACACACCTTACCGTGACAGCGGCCGACGCACGACTGCCGGTACTTCGGTCGTCGACTCGCGAAGCTATCCGAATTTACCCGATCTTCCTAACACTTCTCCTCGAGCTGGCCATGTGCTCAGACGACGTTTGCGCATGCTCTACTTGTTACCACGTGCTACACAAGGTATATAATATCTCTCTTATCTTTTATCTTTATTTTTCATCATTTTCTTGTTCTTTTTTTCAGTTTTTTAAATAATTTATATGAAAATTCATTCTCAAATTAATTGTTTTAATATATCAATCTTATATTTTAGTATGCGTAGTATATTTAGTATAAACATAAAGTATAAATAATTTTCTTTTCATTTATATGATAAATTTGAAATAAATTTGAGATTAATATTAACTCAGTTGACATATTTTATTTTTTTTTTTTAATTCTATTGAAATTTCTTAATAATCGATAGTTCCAATTTTAATTGAATATAGTGAATAATAGAATAATTTTCTTCGATGTTGTATGATAGAGTTGAATTAGAATAGATTAAAGTTGCATGCATACTTGAAAAGCTGAGCAACAGGTCTTACAACATGTGCGTTTTCGCGATGTCGGAGTAAAGTTTTAGTCGAGACACGAACCCTGATATTATTTCAAGCTATTTCCAAGTTGATAACAGAGATTCCTAAAGAACTTGACGTTTGCTGCTTTCTCCGACCGATGGCGTTATATCAAGCGGGAAAAATTGAAGTAGTTATTTTCGTGATTATTTACAATTCCTTTCTTTTTAATAAAGTTATAGACAAATATAACAGTTAATTTATTAAAGGAAATAAACGATTATCAATTCCCGAGACTTAAGATTTAATTAATTTAATTCTGATTAATGTATTATAGTTGGAAAACAAAATTTATTTAAAAACGTGCAAATAGAATTGTTTCAAAAATATAACAGAAATTAAAAAGACTTTATTTCTAAATTTCTATGTAGCCATTGACCTAGTGTATAATCCTGGCTTATTAAAAGTAGGGTCTTTGTATTTTATTTTTGCTCACCTTGTGAAAGCTTTCCCGAGTAAATCCTGAGGAAATATCTTGTTCTATTTTTATCTTTTTCTCCATTTTTCTTCCTTCTACTTTTATTCCTTTATTTTTCTAAAAATCCCTGTGGAATATATTCTATTTGCAAGCGAATGAGGTTGAATGAAAGTATTACGTTCATAATCCTTGTCTAAAGTTGTTCTTTCTATTAGATAATCATAGATTTTCTTTGCTTTTGTGTTTTATTATTTGCTTGCTCACAAAATTGTACATTGCAATAAAGATGATATGCGTTACACGTATATAAATCTAATATTTCACATGTATAGCAGTTGAATATTAAAATAAAAAATCTTATCTCGATAATAGCTAAAAATAAACAACAATTTAATGTGTTTACATATACTCGTATCAAATATTTTATTTCACGATCATGCTTTAACTAATCCGCGTGTCATAATACCCATGTATATGCATACTTACAAGTGTTCGTGAATCCAAAAACACGGTTTACGTGCCGTGTGTACATGTGTGTTAAGAAGAACACAGATCCTTAATTCCTGTCATGTGTTAATACACGTGTATAACACAGATCCTTAATTCCTTAATGCACGTGCTACGTGGTGCACACGTGTGTTTTAGTACAACGTTGAAAACCGAGTTACAAAATCTTGTACGACCCAAATTCGATTATAATTCATTTGTGGAACTTTCTGAGGGAGCAGTGGGGGGGAGGAAAGTAAGGAGACGCTAATTGAAGTATATATTTTGTTAAATAAAGCATGAAACGTTGAAATAAATTCATAATCGCCTTTGTTGCGCCTACTTCATGCTAGATTAGAAAAGTTTTCTTTCAATGAACGTAAATAAGTGCTTACGTGCACGTTCTATTTGGAACTTGGTAAAAGTTGTTCTCGTTTTCAGAAGAGCCGGTTATCTATTTTCGGATGGAGAAATGGAGGAACGAGTTTGTCATCGATTTCGGCATTGTCGCAGAAAGCCAATGAAAAGTTACGCCTCGGCGGATTAAAAGTGTTTGCTAACGTATTCGTTGGTGAGAAAGTTTTATCGAAAAGCTTTGGTCTCGGACAGTTGGAGTCGTCCTTTCCAACAGTTTTCTACTAACATGAAAGAAGCTTAGAAAACTTTGATCTCTGTATTTTTATAACTAACCATAAATATGTTAAAACTGATGACAGTTAATAGTAATGATATATTAGAAGTTTATTACTAATCCAGTTATAATTTATGTGAACTGAAAAATAAATCATTGAGATACTTCATCTTATTGATAAATAATCGATATTAACAATTTTTGTTCGTAAAAAATATTGGAAAAGAAGATGCACCTTTCGCATTTATGAGAAGATAATTCAAGATTTTTTTGTTATCCTCGTTAGGGATGGTTCCAGGAAAATTTATTGAACCTATGCGTTGTAAGGGTTGTATCGTTTTTCGTTATCTTTAAATTACTCTGGATTACAAGGCACTTTCTCGTTGGCATTCGGCAGGGAAGGTGTACGCCTACAATGGTTCCGAAACGAGTTTGGGAATATCGTTGCCAAACGATAAGCGGCTGGTTAAAAGCCAGTTAAATGGGAGGCAATTAGCCGATCGTATGACGCAGCTACGTTCCATTCGCTCCCGGCACAACAACAAAATAAACCGAGCTTTTGTTTTTTCACCGATCGCCATTATTTGTTGGCTCGATTTTTCAAATTCTATTTTGTTTATTTTTTATTTCTCTCTATCGCTCTCTTTCTTCTTGTTTTGTTTTTGTTCTTTTATCCCCCAACCCTCTTTTATTACAAGTTTCTCGAATCTATAATATAATGATTTTTATTTTATTTTATATCTGTCGGTTATCGATTTACAATTATCCTCAGTTTCATTTTCAATTCGTACGAATAAACTTATAGGATGATTAATTCGTTAGTATTGAGAACAATCGTTGAATATCATTTACGCAAACTATTTTAATGTTATAATACGAAGAAAATTTGAAATTAATGTTCGCTTCATTAAAAGCTTCATTCCATTTCAGTTTGGAGACAAGCGAAGACGAATGAAGATAGCAAAAATGATGAACGAGGAATTTATAACTGTCGTCTCGGACTAAAGGGCACGTTTATCGATTTATTACTCGAATAAAAAAATAAAAAAAAAATATTTAAAAAAAATACGAATAACCGATGGAACGATCCGTTGATATTTATTAAAATACGTATACGTTTGTTATAATTTATTATCCAACAACTAAGATTTATTTCATTATAATTATTATTATTATTATTATTATTATTATTATCATATGAAATGAAAAGTAAAATATATTTTATGATTCGTGATATTATAACATTTTCGATATTGCTTTATTTAATTTGTTAATTGGATTTTATAATCGAATAGATGTTACGTATTTTCATCCGGATTATAAAAATTCTTTTGTACAAATATTAACCTGTTACATTCATAGGTGTAAATTTTATCGCTCTATATTGATAATAAAAAAAAAAATTTTTTTTATAAGAATTTAAATATGGTTTATATTAATTTTTCTCGCTACTGTTAAAAGAATAAAAATTAATATTATTGAGTGTTTGTTTTTTTTTTATTTAAAAATGATAGAACATAAACGGTATGCTCGATCTTTCATAAAACACGTAGGTATTGTCTTAGCAAAGATACGAATGACATTCGTCAATTGTATGACGAAATTAAAATTCACTTTTATCTATCTCCTACATGCACCGATTTGTAATTGTACATTGCATGAGAACATTTTTTTTTTCTTCGTGCTATATCATATTCGCGTTTCACGTTGGATAAGTTTTAAAGATATTTTAATTGTAATACTATTTCATACAATTTTTATTTAATAAATTATTTCGAAAATGTCAATATTAAAATATAATCCTTCTTCTCTCTCTTTTTTTTTTAAATACGTTCGAACAAATTTTTATAATATTAATGCAATATAAAATGTAGAAAATTTATTCTCACCGTAAATGCAAGCAAAATATTATATTATATATCATGAGGTATAACCTGACGATGCAATGTTTTTTCATAAAAAAAAAATAATGACCAAAATAAATGATATTAATACGCATATGCGTTTATCGCGTGAAATGTTTAGTTACGTAAATGTTAAGTAACATTTTCACGACCAGTAAATACTTTTCAACGAGTAACAAATTTAATGTGTACTTTTAATATAATGTATATTACACTTTTATAAAATAAAAAAAAGTAAAGGGGAGTAAATAAATATAAATTGAGTAACGTGATAAACAAAAAAGCTGTGGGATAAAAATGAAAGGGGGGGGGGAGTAGGAACTGGATGCTGGTGGTAAATAAAGGATGAGTTAAAATGATTTGAAAGAGCATTTGCGAAAATGGTAACAAACGTTGATTGGATGTATGTGAAAACGTTTCTATCTTTAAGATAGAAGCCTGCTTGGCGAGATTAAAAGAAAGACACATAAGTATCTCTCGATGGGTAGATTTAATCCTCTTTGGTGAAGGATACCGTAACGTTGAAATTGCAACCGGAGAATTTCGCTTTACGAGTTCGGCATCATGAAATCCATCCCTCTTTTAAGATCTCTTTAAGCCCAAGGACATTAAAAAAGATGGCATCGATCCAAGTATAGCGAGAACGAATAACCCCGTCTGCCAAGTTACGTTTCTAAACGACGATTAACTAAAAGACGATTTTGTAACTTTCGTTCGATATATTTTCGTGTTATCGAATCGATTGGAAGAAAGTAGTAAAAATTGAAAGGAAGATATAAAAGAGAAAGAAGAAGAAGAAGAAGAAGAAGTAAAAGTTCATGATTAAAATATTATTACGGGAAGATCAAACGTTCATGTGTCTTTATGTCGATTCAACGTCGAGGGACAACGAAAACGCAATAAACGAGCCAATTTGCCCAACGTTCAACGCCGACAAAAAACAGCAACGACGCACCTTTGGTAATTCTCTTAATGGTCGTGCACCATGGCCACGTTACCCGTGCTCTTCCGTGCACTCACTTCCCTAATGCACTGCCTCCTCCCTCGTCGACTATATCGAGCTTCTAGCTCGAAAATGCCAGGAAAATGTCGGGAAAATGCTTCGAAAATAATACCTACCAGCACAAAATACCGGACGTGCGTTCTATATCGTTCACGACCATTCCCGAAAGCTCCAATGACTTTATTTAATTTTCTATCGAACGTTGAAACCACATTGCGAATTGTCTACGGTTAATGTGTTTTTCCCTTTCACTTTTTTGGTTTTTTTTTTTTTTTTATTGGTAGGGGAAAGGATTTATTTTGCTTTTATTATTATTTCATTAACCATCGGATAAATCGGTAAGATATTTGTTTATCCGTACTTTCGGAAATAATTTAATCCTTTTTAATGCACCTACTATGTTTCAACGATTATCTCCGACTTTTTTTTTCTATTTTCATTTGTATTTTTTTTTTTTTTTTACACTTATGTCATTTTTAAAAATGCCGTTAAAAATTATTTAACGATTGCGAATGATATTTAATACGTTTTTTTCTCTACTTGCGACCGCTGATTCGGATTTCCGTTACGCTCGATTTTACGATTCTTTTAAAAGAAGAAAAGTGAATCGACTTCCTGTGAAAACGCATTAAACCATGGTAATCATTTGAAATGGTTGAAACAACGTTTATGCGTAACCGAGAACATGTTTTGTCCCGTAAACCTTCAACCAAGTTAACTGTTCTTCTTTCCTATTTTTACACTTTTGTTATGCTAATGGTTGTTCCGAAATGTCCAAAGTTTAACTTTAAATAACCTAGAAAGGGATTCGCGATAATAATGAAATTAAATGTATCATAAAGTTTACTTTAGCAAACAATTTGAATATTGAGGGATCAATTTTCGTAGGGGTTGTTATGACTCACACATTGATGATTTGGTTAATCAATTAATTTAAATTAATTGTAATAATCGGTATACTAAAGTAATAAATTAATACTGAAACAGTGGTATACGTTGTTATTTTTAATTGTTCGGAGATCACATTAACAACAATTTCATATTGAATGAAAAAAGTTAAGATATTTATAATCGTACGAATAAATAAAATACATTATTGTGTTAAACGAATTAATAACGATTGATTATTATTTTTGGAAAAATATTTGTAAAATCGATAATTAGTTGATTGAGATTTAAATCGATTTGAGAATATTTTATCGTTTATGTAAAGTAGTAGAGGTACCAGATTACTCAACAAATACCTGAAATAACATTTTCAAAAGAGGGTCAAACAATTTTACGATTCGTTTCACGTATTCGGTATGCATCGATAATGAAAGTACATAATGAAGTTATCGCTTATTCATGTCATATCGTTATTAATTCGTTCACTTAAAATCCTTTTTCCTTTTTTTACGAAAAATGAAGACAAATATTGAACTGTCCTATATATAGAGATTATTAAATAGATAATTATATTATCTTCTGTTCTCGTACATCATATTGCGAATTAATAATTATAATAATAATAATAATAATATTATATCAGTAAAAAGACAATTTTCACTAATATGATAGATAATTCGTAATTTTATTTAATTTAAATTACTGTTGTCATATACAAACGATACTTAATTTTGATGTATAGAATCATTTTGAAAGACGTATTGTATTTTTGTTTTTGTTTTTTATCGTATTGAACGATACAGATTTAATTTCACATATTAAATTCGATCGAGCATTTATTTGTGGTTTCATTCAAAGAGTTTCATTTAGAACATTTCATATATTTTTATTAAATTATGATTCAATGAATTCAACAGCTGTATTTTTGTTCCTATCGTAATTTTCCAATCGAGTAAGGTAATATACCACTGGTACAAATCATTGCTTATTTCAAAAATGATATTTAATTATAGTAATAAATATTACTTGAAGATTGAATGCACAAATTAAAGAATTAACGACGATAATGCAATAATTTATCCTTTCATGAAAACGAGATTGTTTTTCATTTACAATTTGATACAATATCGGATACATTAATTTCGGGTTAATTGCGTTGAACTAACGAAACTGTGTAAAAATAATTTTTCATTCGAATCAGAGACCATTAATCGTTTTCCAAATTGAACATTAACAGGTGTCTTTTACAAACGACTGATCAGAAAATTTCAAATAATTTGTTTGCAAATTTCTAATTATCCTGTAATTATATTCACGGCATAGGTAAAAAAAAAAAAAAAGACAATAAATGTTTGTAAAAAGTACGTAATTTTAATATTCTGTAACTAATCAATCATTCGAAAAATAATCAAATTATTCGCGTTCGAAACGTTAGTTTCAATCTGAAGTAAAAATATATTCTCCGAAGTCGTAGAAATTTAAACTACGGTTTAATTAAATTTCGCTAGCACGAAGAAAGAAATTCTTCTATGTTTTCACCGCAATTATAAATCTTAATTTCATTTCGTTCAAACACTTTTGTGTAATAATAAATGATATTAAATTCTTGTTCTTCTTTATATACAATTATATAATCGGAAAGGGAAATGATAATATTGATTTTAATTACACACAAATATTGTTTAACATTTAAAACAATTTAAGAAATTGAAAACTTGTTCGCACTTGGACTATGACAGGTCTTCACTTACGTAAATGAAGAATGAAAAGTACATCTTATCGGTTGAAGATAACCGACGGAACGTGCTGAAAACAATAAATTTGATATCAACGATATTTTGAAAACTCGAAAGATAATACCGAATATTTTTGTAATTACTGTATAGTGTGTTTGGGAATACATATAAAAGCGACTCGTTTAACATCATTTATTTCAGAGTATGAAATTAAAGAGTTGCATTAAAAGTTATATACGGGATAGATCTTTTTCAATTGTAAAATGAAATCTAAGAAAGTAACATTAATGATTATTTTTCTCTTCGCATCTATGCACGTAAGTATTATGTTAATAAAATAAAAAAAAAAGAAATAAATCAATGTAAGGTAATTAATTAACATGACAATATTATTTCGTCTGTCATAGATGGTGGTCTGTCGCAGAAGTCATTCAATAGGAAAAATATTAAAAAAATTAAATTTGGGCAAATTAAGCAGACACATGGACGATAAAAATATAAATCCATCCAACATATTGAAATCAATTTTAAATCGCATTGGCAATTTACGTTCTAGTCCAGATAATGGAGTAGATACTCTCTTAGAACGCCTCTTAAATTCCAATGGATTTAATCAATGCAGTGGAATCAAGTCTCCAGAAATTATCGATAAAGTAATCGAACCGGTTCTTGTCGAATCACCGATGATAATGCCGGTCCAAAGTGTTGCTCCGGTTGAAGTTGTTCCGCAAGTTGCAACTATTCCACAAGTTGCAACTGTTCCGCAAGTTGCAACTGTTCCGCAAGTTCCAGTTGTTCCGCAAGTTCCAGTTGTTCCACAGGTTGCAACTGTACCACAAGCAGCAACTATTTCGCAGGTTGCAATTGTTCCACAAGCTAGAACTGATCCTGGAACAGATGCAACCTGCGAAAAAGTTCCAGCTTGAAAGCTTCTTTGGTTTATCTTTTTTATGTTTTATTATAAAAATGTGTTGCTAATGATATGATTTAAAAACTTGTAATATTTTGACAAATTCGAATAAAATTAATATTATTTTTATACAGCGTTCAATGAATTTCATTAACATCTTGTATGTATACATGTATATATATATATACAACATTCATAGATATTTCCCTCCGTTGTACGTCGCATTGAAACAAAGTTCAAAAGTGTTTTGGCTTGGTGGCCGACGACCACACTTAAAATCGTTGAGAGAAGCTCAAGCATGAAACGAATAAATATTCGTGAAACTGCGCGGCAAATACGAACCCTAAGAGTGAGCCAACTCGACACAGTCCGTTTGCTACGAAGGAGAAAGAACGAGAGAGAGAGAGAGAGAGAGAAAGAGAGAGAAAGAAAACCAGAGAAAAAGATACACTGATAATTGAGTTCCAAGCTTAATTGTCAAGCCTTGTTTTGGCTGCTTTTAACCTGATTTCATTGGTAGATTTGAAAAACAAAAGGAAAATTACATGAATAAATGAAATAAAATACGATAGAAAAATCGAAAATTGTTAATGAAATGAAATTATTCAATTGGTTTATACAATAGGAAAGATTATATTATCGATAATAATTAATTCGAGAAATTAATCGGTTAACGGTACTATGATGTTAATGAATAAGATTCTAATCTAGTTGTCCTTGATTGCTGCTTTCTATTTAACGTTTTGTGCATGTATATATGGTTTATCCGATAAAACGTCATTACTAACATTTTATTGCTTGATTAACGTCAACGTTGAATCAATTTACTTGCGGAAAAGGTCAATGTACAAATTATTAATGGACAATTTATAATATAACGGGTTACTTTTATAGTCATACGATTTCGAACGATATCGTTCGATAGGTCGAATAGTTTGTCAATGAAAAATATATTGCAAAACATATTTGCATTGATATCTTTTTCAATAGGTATAAGGTGGTAAGAGATAATCTTTTAATAGGATTGTCGAAGGTCGTTCGTTGGAACTACGAGTTTTAGGTTGTTCGGATAGAAGAACGCCTGATCGTGGTGTCAATGGTTTCCTTTCTAAATCCATTGGTAATCTTTCATCCGTAAACGATGGTGGTATCAAACTCGTACTCGGTGGACAGACGATAACAGAATTTTGAGCGTCATCATCGATTATGGCAACTCTCGATGCACCTGAAATAGAATTCCGAGATAGAAACTAACTAGAGAATTTCATTGCGCAACTGTAATAACTTGGGAGGAAAATTCACCTTTGATAAACACCGAGCCACTTCCAGGTCTGCTCACGATCAACTCGTTCCGTAGAGATCCGCATAGAAATAGTTTCTTCGATCTATCGTCTGATGCAATTTCACCGTTCCTTTCGATACCAATTATATTTGCATTTCCATCGGGAGCTACCGTTATCGTTCTTTGATTGATTACCGATTCTAACACGGGTGTTCTTCTTGTCTCTGGTGAAATTATCTCAATAGGTGATGTCAATGATGTACTGTATCGATCAATTTTATTTACTCCTATTGGTTCAGAGAAAGTTGCTTCCGTAGGATTGACTACGATCAAAGAAGATTTCTTCGTAGATCCTTCGTTATTACGTGCAAATTCTACCCAGGAAATAGAATCTACGAAAGATAATGAAAAATATATATGTTTTTTCTTTTTTATTTATATAACAAATCATTTATTTAATAATGATATTTGAAATTGAAATATACCTTTTTTCAAGGGTGGAAGAATTGACGTTGATAAAATAGGAATGTTCGATGGACCAACCGATGAATCTTGGAAAATATTATATGGATTTTCAGTAACATATTCTCTTTCTTGATTAGGCCAAATATTTCCACGAGCAAAAGAGAATAACGTGAATGTTAAGATCTGAAAATGAAGTTAAATATTATTAACAATAATAATTTTAATATATTATATTACGAGAGTTATTAAATCAAAATGGATAATGCGATTCGTAGAAATGTATTGCTATGCATTTATGGTATAATGTACTGCAAATTATCTAACGAATCATCTTACATTTCCGCTACGGGTTTATTGTCGTGTCTCGCGTCAGCACGTTTCATGATTCGAGAACAATATCCGACCTTCGGATATCGTTGCATCAGGTCTGAATGGATATAACAATATGCAAAAGGTAAATACTCGTAGTTATAAAGTTTAAACGTGCATATATATAGAAATGCATAGAGGGAGTAGTGCATCATCTACGCTTGCAATTTGCATATTTTCATTGATGAATAATACGTAAGAATATTTTAACAAAATATTTTGAAATCATTGAGATAGTTTTTATTTTTCTTTATTTTTTTTTTATTTCTTTTTTTTTTTTTACATAAGAACGTACGAGATATATACAATAAAATTCGAACACATAATAAATCAATTAATTTTCTTTCGACAAAGAACAAATATCCACGTAGAGAACGTATCGGAGAAACGTGCGATGATTACGCGACTTCCGCGGTGCAATTTTCAACGTAACGTTTTTATATAACACGTATATAACTCGTAACGCATAACGTTACTAAGATTTGATTTAGATTTCTCAATAATAAATAATCATCAATTATAAATTGTAATTAATTATTAAAAAATGATAAAACTTTATCATTTAGTTGATATAAAACTATAATAATATATAAGCTGGATATCGAGTAAGAGTTGTAAGAGTCTAGGTAATTGGTGATTTACTTCTTGGAAAAATCGATATCTCTGGAAATAGTAACTCGAGAGGAAAGAAAAGGTTCGAAACAAGGAAGAACATAAATTTTGTCTGTTAACTATCGAGAAGGATGTTCGATAAAGAACCTTTGGAGGACTAGGTAGCAAGTATCCGCAAAGGTATACGTATAATACGATAGTACTTGATGCTTGAGAAAGATACTTTACTAAGGGACGTATCGAACGAAGAAATAAGTAATTCTAGTTTGAACGTACACGAAGACGAGATAGTTCGATACTTTGTCGCTCGTATTTCATCGACGACACCGACCATTGCGTTACTACGAACAAACGAATTAAACTTTTCTCATCTGGCAAGATTCAAACGTTATTCGTCCACCAACGTGAATTCCCTTATCTCGCAACGTTCTCCCTACCTTTATTTTCTTTAATTTATTTATTTATTTTTTTTCCTTTAGTTTAGTTGACGAAGTACGATTAAAGTTTTCCTCTATTCTTCTTACCGATAACTTCATCGTTGTTATTATTTGTTGGTTTTCTGTTCTAAATCTTCTTGAAAGAATTTGTCGATACTTCACTACGTTAACGTTTGATTACACCTCAGTTACTGATATTCCTCATGTGAGATTGCAACGGTTATATATACTCGAGGAGATACGAAATAAAGAAATCACTGTACCTTGTATCATCATATCGTCTCGATGATTTGTTTGGAAAGGAAGGACAATGTAAAATGAAGGAAGACGTTCTCGTAATATTATAACGCGTCACAATCAATCACATTCCTCCTTTCAAGTCTTTAATCCTACGGTATTATTACGGCATTGTCTGATTTTACTTGAATATGGATTTATCTTTAGAGTAAGATTCCGAATAGGTTATAGAATTAACTGCATTATGGATAACCGAATAAGGACTAAAGGGCTTTTCGAATGATCCTTATAAGATCGTATTAGTTTCTAAAGCAACGTTGAATTCAAGACGCGGTGGTCGTTTCATGAACAAACGGTTCTTGATTTATCGTTCTTAGTCGAGCCACACCCTTATCGATAACAACATACCTACCACATGGAAAGTCAATGATATGCATTACCTTGATTTCTATCTTCGACACGTTATTACGAGTTAGGGAGAAGGAGTACTATATAAGACGAAGCAGGTCGAATGATGTTCATCGATTGACCGCATTTACTTCAGGAGTAAGTCGCAGTTAACAACTTTAGCACCATGAAATTTTTAGTAAGTATACCTATGTAGAAAGACGTTTGTATATTGCATAAAAATCAACTGGCAAAAATAGTACCTTAAGATTGAGATCAAATTGTTTCTAAAGGATACGATTTTAAAATATACATTTGGGATATATCCAAAGCTTATTGGTTACTTTTTATTTTTACACAAATAATGGGATAAAAATAATCGTTTCAAATTATAGAGAAGAATGGGACGCAAGAATATATTATTATTTTGTATTGTTTTTAGATCGTCGTATTCGCTATTTTCGCGATGGTGGCAGCTTTTGAGGAAAGAGAACGTCGTAGTGTTGTGGGTGTACCTTTGGTTGGACCTGCAGTGATTGGGCCGGCAGCTGTCCCAGCAGCCGTAGTTGGTCATCATGGTGCTGCGGTTGTTTCTGCAGTTGCACCTGGGGTAGTGGCAGCTCATGTTCCTGGTAAATAGTCAAATATTTCATTGTTTACTCTCATCTAGTTTTATTATCAAAATTATAATGTATATATTATATAATAATAGCTGTATTTATTTATGATTTCGTTCATGAAATGTTCGTAAGATATTGGTATTAACGAAAGGACATTTGTAGTGGCTGGAGTAGTAGCTGCTGGACTTGCCCATGGTGCCGTTCTCGGATAATCATCTGGGGGATACTAACCACCGTTGAATCTCCATGGAATAATTATACGGACCTTGCGCATCACTATGTATACGATGGAATACGATGTCGTTCGACTTTCTCGATGTTGAACTCTCTCGTTCACCTTCGTCATCAGACTCTACCTCACTATACCGATGATTTCCCTCGACAATATAAAATGCCCCAAGCTTTTACGATTCTTGTAATTATAAAATGCATCTAATACGAAAATATATATATACTACGCTTTATAAAATATCTCTTTCCTATTCGATAATGTCCAAATTATTTGACAACTAATACAGCATGTAATTCGATAATACTGTATACTCAATAAAAAAATAATACACGTTTAAATAAATATCTACGATTATTTCATTAATTGTTCTAATACCTGTATAAATTATTTTAATAACATTATTTAATTGTAAATAATTTCAATTACATCGGTATTGACCTAAAAATCAATTCTCTTGATGATACAAAAATCAATTATTGTTAATATTACTTTTTAATTAGCTAAAACAAATTTAATATTGAAACAAATAGGTATTAGATTGTAACACGTTAAGTATAACATTGTGTTACGTTGATTTATTTGAATTTTTATTTTATATAATTAAAAAGAGAAATAATAACAAACATTCAGACGTTTTAGAATAATTTTGAAAATTGATTATATGATTCATTTTGTAATATAAATAAATGATTGTAATAAAAATCAAATCTCATTACATTTAGTTTTATAAAATTTAACACGTTCCGCGTGCCAAGCTTTTTTTTTACCTGACTTGTCATTCAGGCCATTTAATTTTGATTTAACTAAATCAATCATTACATGTAATTATTAATTATTGTAAATATAATAATTAAACAAACTTATGTGCTTTATTTTATATTATGCTTATAATATTTTAATAGGAATATTTTTGTACAGAATTAAATTTATTAGAAACATATATTTTTAGTACATTAAATAAATATGTTTAATGATAAGTGTACCACCGGTGGTACACGTGGCACGGAACGTGTTAAGGAAGAAATGGAAGGAGAATGGAAAGGACCCTTCGTGTTTAAAAACCTCCTCGTATTTCCTGGAGAAACAAATCCCTTGCAGGATGTTTAAATTTGAACAAAATTTCAAATGGTAAAGTGTGAAGATGCAATATGCACATGGAACTGTTTAGAAGTCCTCGATAACACAATATTGCTGTCTCTCTTATTTTTTTAATTCTTTTTTATAATCTAAAAAACAATTTGTTTTTTTTTCCTTTTTATCCAATAACCATTAAATCATTACTTATTAATTTTTACATGATTGGATGTGTACTTCTTTATGATTTTATGCAAAGATGTAATGCATTTAGTTGTTCGGAAAAACTCGAGTCGATTTCTATGGATTATGTCAAAGAAATTCTTTTAATTAATTAAAACAATACAAGGTGACAAATTTAATAAATTTAAGGGAATATATATATATAGTATTTGAAACAAATTAATGCTTGTGAATGAATTTATTTTCTTATTGCTGAATAATATGTATTTAAACATAAATATATCTAATCATTTTTACAAAATTAGAACGTGTAATTGTGAAAATGTTAATTGTAAGATAAAAATTACAGGTGGAATGAATAGTTTTGAAATGGACAATTTTTGGAATGAAGGATTTTCGTATTTTCTGGGAAGACAAAAGTCAATTATCATGAAGAAGAAAGAAGAAAATCGAAAAGAAATATGGTGCGGAAATTCTTTTATTTTGATAAGAAAAGGCGCATCGTGGAGTAAGAAAAAAAAATAATAATAGATGCTGTAGGAGAGTATTATTCTCGCGAGTCATTGAGCGAGATGCGATAATAATGGAGCTAATAAGCCGTTTAAGGGGGTCGTTATAAGTTTCGCTCGAGAGAGGATAGCGTTTAATTGCCTAAGGTTAAAACTCGTAGTCGCGTTTCCATGATCTCAAGCTCGTCCTTCCGCCGAAACGAAGCAGTCGAGAAAGTAGAAAGTTGATAGAAGTCTTGAGTCGAGACGAATTTTCTTCGAAACTCGCATCAACGTTTCAAGTCCAAGCAGAAAATCGTTGAAATCGTAGAAAGCAAGACGAGGGTTGAGTCGAGACATTTTTTCTTCTTTACCAAAGGCCATGAGCCACTAAACCATGAGGTACAACACCAGGAGCGACGATAGCTCCAGCTGGTCCAGAAACTACAGCGGAACCTATACAAGAAAATCGGATGTTATTAATTAAATATTAAAGATAGTGGAGTTGATGACGAATTAACAATAATTTTCACTTGCCATGAGCTGGTCCAACAACAGCAGCACTACCAGCGACTGGTCCTACGACAGCAGCATGGCCTGCGGAAGGTCCTACTACCGCTGCGGATCCTGCAGAAGGTCCAACCACTGCTGCAGAACCTGCGGAAGGTCCAACAACAGCTGCGGATCCAGCCGAAGGGCCAACCACGGCTGCAGAACCGGCTGCAGGACCTACCACGGCTACCGATGGTGCACCTGGTGCAACAACGGCTGCTGCAGGGGCTAATGCAACACCATGGCCCCAACCGAGAAGGCCTAAGTGTCCCAAACCAAGGGAACGACGTTCGCGTTCCGGCAAAGCCGTCGCGACAGCGATTACAGCGGCGATGAGAATCTGTCGATAAAACGATCAAGATTCTAATATCGTCGATTCTTCAATCGATTCTTTAATCAATAAAGTCAAACTTACCAAACACTTCATGATTGTTCTTTTCGATGAGTCCTGGTAGGCTTCACTGATATCCAACCCTTCGATCAACCGCTCTTATATACCAACTCAATAACACTATCACTCTTGTTAACCTTCAACCCCTTCTTTAAACTATCAATACGGAAATAGGTGTGGTTCTTGTTTCAAATGACATTAAAATATTAGATCAAAATTCCAGATCCACCGACGACGGCGACCGAGACCTTTACACTACTTTCTTATTAACAACTTGAATAATTCTAATCTTGAACGACCGGTTATATTTCATTTCTATAACCAATACTCTTTATTGTCTCTCATTACTTTTTATAATATAAATATCTTTCAGAGAAAAATGAAAAAACTTCTTTTGAACAAAATGTATTTGTTCTGTTATTCGGATTAAAATGAATACGACCAATATATATATATATTGTTTTTATTTTCTTCTTCTTCAAAAAGATATAATTGGATCCTTGAAAAAGGAAGCACGATGAAACTTCGAAACTTTTGATACGCGACTTTCGATACGGGAATTCTCTCCCGGAGAATTTCTATTCTTAGACTCCTTGGATGGATCTTTAGTCTTTGCCGACAACGAAGAGTCGGAGAAGCTACGAAAGAGGATTGCCCCTAGGAAGTTTAGGGAAGAGTGCGGTTAAGGGGTAAGGGTGGTTATTGAAAAATTCATAGATACGAGCCCCTTTGTGTCGATTTCGAAGCGATGGATTCCTTTTCAAAAAGTATTCCGGTTTAGGGTGAACGATCTTTTCTGTATATAGATGTGTATGGTATAGTGGAGTCATTGAAATATTTTGATATCTTCTTCAAAATTAAATAACTCTCTCTCTCTTAAATTTAAACAAAAATTTGTTCTCTTTTATAATAAAAAAAATCTCAAATATAATAAGATCTTTGGAAGAAAATTCATTTGATGCATTTTATAAATTCTTTAAAACTTTCAAATATTATTTTTATTTACCATAATATTAAACACAAATGGTTACCAGTTGAATTTTTGTCTCTCTGTAAATTCTTTGACGTAATTCATCTCTCTAACAATTATTACAAAATCATCAAAAGTGTATGGGACAACGTAGCATTCGTTTTGAAGTATGTACTTTTATTGGCAGAGGACAATATCGAATTGCGGAATATATATCCGATCGTTCGATAGGGGGAATGGAGCATCCAAGCGCAAATACAACCGCCCTGCGATAGACTGAAAATAATTAGTGCGGTGAAACAATTATCGAGTGGGTGCCAACGGTGAACGAATGCCAGCCACGATATCGGCACGATTCGGAAGCAAACGGTTTTCGGCAAATGCTTCATTCCCTCTCGTAAATATACTTGCATGTATGTATATATGTATGCATGTACCATATGTATGTGTCTGTCCTCAGTGTGTACAATAAAGCAACGAATGAAAACGCGGAAACGGAAAATTAAATAGAAGGATCCGTTTCCCCGTGGTTGAATTAAACTACGACAAAACTAAACAATGAATTAATTCAACGTTATTCGAATTTTTATTAATTACGATTATAATATCTATCCTTTAATTAGCGTATCTTCTTTGAGTAAAAAAAAAAGAAAGAAAGAAAGACATCTGCTATAAGTTAGGACATTCGCTCGTTAAAATGTTAAACGGGTCGACTCATTACGTACCCGGCAAGGTTCGTTTATCTCTTACGGAAGTGAATCAAACGCTATGCGGAAAACCAAAGTTCCGTCGGTTTATATTAACGAGTAGAAAGAGATATCCAAAGACTTTAATCGTACATTAACTTTAATGATACATTATAATCACAATTAATTTCGAAGATAACTATCGACGGAGAAATTACACGTTTTCAGCATGGGACGCTTTAATAAATATCCCATTGTTTAACCATCGATGTTTCACGAGGGAACTCTCCCCGTTATCGGATTCTATTCATACATTCTTGGGATATAAGTTGAACATTTTTGTCCTCGTTTAAATTGACAACCTGTTTATTGAATAGAGACAAATTATATAATAATAATAATAATAATAATATATTGTTCATTAAGAGGATATACATTTTTTACAAAATTATATACGTAAAAGTAATATTGTTTGAAAATATCAATGCTTTCCGTTAATTCATTTTAAAGAGAGTAGAAAATTGTGATCTTTACCGTTATATACCGTCCTTGATAAAAGAATAAGTAGGTACGAGAAAAGGACTCGTTCATGCGGGAAAAGGAACGTGTACGGATTTAGTTGAGATGACCGTACTTGGCAATGAAACGATTACTGCTCCGTTAAACCATTAGATTCGTCGTGTAACGAGGCGAAACAATTACGACGACCATGTACGAGAGCTCGTGTGTCGCGTGTATCGTTTGCCACGTGCCACGAGGATCGTTACTCGCTTCTTCATGTTAGAATACGTTCCTTCTTTCTATGAGTATATATATATACACACACATACAAGCATATATGTGTGTATAGGATTACGCTTACACACGTATCTATTCGTTTTCATAGCGTAGGCGCTTAACAGCACGATGCAGGTGCACCTTCCAGTCTCGTAATTTTTACTTTCTTTCCCTTCTTTTCTTTATATTCTTTTTTTTTCCTCCCAACTACTCTGTAAAATTCTGTTCTCAGGGTTGCTTCTTTTTGACTTTTGAAAAAATATTCCATATAATGAACGTTAAAAAAATGTAAAGTTGAAAAAGTTACGAAGCAATTGAAAAAACGGGAAAAATTCTTTGAATATATATTATATTAAACGTTTTAATTGATATAATTATATAAATTCGTATATATTTATTAATCTCTACATATTTATAATTTTATTTAATCGTTGTTAAAAAATGTAGTAGAATGACGAAAGAGATTTTCATATGTAAATTAACTTTTCTCTATCATCCGTGAAGAACATTGACAGCAGGGATTACAGCACCGTGAGCAACGCTATTCGTAGAAATTATTCCACCGTCCGGACCAGCGACTACGGTACTTCCCGCAAGCGGTATACCAGCAAGAGATGCTGTTGCTGCGTGAGATGCTGCGATTACCGTGCCATGTTCCAATCCGTTATCTGAAACAATGCATTTTAATGAAATACTTATTTTTATAATTTGACATTATAAGCTTTTATTGTTAATTGTTATATTTCTTACCAACGACTAACGCACTCAAACCTAAAGATGGTTCGGAGACAAGAGTAGGACCAGCGACGGAACCAATTACAGCAGATGGTCCAGCAACCGATCCAGATACTACAGCAGATCCAGAAACTGCACCACTTACGCTAACGGGTCCACTGACTGAACCAGTAACAGCAACTGCTCCTTTATGAGGACCAACAACAGCTGCACTAGGTCCTACGATTCCACTGGGTGCAGCATAAGCTACTCCAACGATAATTGTTAATAGGATCTTCAAAAAAATTCGATTATTACATTTTGATTAATTAAATATTGTTAAAAATATTATTAAGGTGAAACATGATAATATTTCTACCAATGGTGTCATTTTTCTTTCTCTTTCTTCGGACTTTCAAAGACTAATAATTATACGATCGACATTAATGCTTTTATACCATTCGTTGACCCTGAATAACAACTCCGTTTATTTTTTTCTTCCATTTAAATGTCACTGCAGTATTATAAATAAATCTCAGAGTTCCTGGAGCCAGCCACTTCTACGTTTGTTCTCATCTGGAAGCACAGAGGAACGAACGCTAGCGAAAGCGGAAATTGAGAAAAACGCGTGCTACGAGGAAACATCGTTAATAACGACCCCGTTTCTCTCTGCCAGCATGACTATCGGTATTGCAATCGAACTTTCGTTCGTCTCTACTCACAGCAGAGATGTCCAAACGGAGAATACTCGGCTGATTGCACTAACGTTGAGGCAATTTCCTACGATTACTGGCGGCAAACGAACGGATTGAAATCAAAGGTGTACTCCGATCAGTTGTGCCGGAGATAGCAACGGACCTACAAATACGACGACGACACAATGGCCTGCGAAATACAGCATGGAGACGGTCACTCACCTCTAAGGTACCATTGTTCCGGTAAGGAATAGTCTAATTCTAAGATGGACGATTATATTGTGATCATTTGGAATAATAGATTCCATTGGATTCAATAACGTATCTATATCACAATACGGATATTATACGTATCATTTGGGAGTTAATACAATTACTTTTTTAATTATAAATTAATTACAATTTTTCTATAAATCTGGCAGAACTAAATTTTTCATATTAAATATCTGAAATAATAAAATAATGAATATCCTGGATAAATGTTAAAACTCAACACTTTTCTCTAATTAATTTCGATTTATAGGATCGTCTAATAATTAGTATTTTCGTATGCATAAAATGTGAGAAATAATTTGATTATGTTTGCTTACATTTTTATTACGTTTGCATAATATATGAACGTTTTGTTATGTACATAAAACACACAAGAGGTTCGAACGATAAAGAGGTATTTGCGGTATAATGGTGGAGATCACGTTGCGTTCGTTCTTAAATTGGCATAGGTCATATGAGAGATCAGTCGAGAGTCGTTGGTATTATTGGGTAACCAAGTTGAAACTAGTAGTGGCCGGCATATCCGCGAACCACTCCACCGAGACCAGCAGGTCCTGCAGCGATGCTACCTGAGGGTCCAGCGATGAGTGCTGGAGCAGCAACAGGACCAGCAAGGGCAGCAGGTCCGACCGCTGGACCGGCAAGAACCGCGCCTGAAAAAAACACGTCGTGCCATTTTAATACGTGTCCGCCTAGATGTCACAAGGAGAGAGTTATTGAACGCGGAAGAATGGATGTTAAAGTGTCATGCTGATCTATCGTCGCTAACTAGATTCGACAAGATCGGTATTCGTTAAGTCACGCCTTTCAAACAAACTGTTTTCAAATCGTGACGTATTTACGAAGTATTGTTAATTCATTTCGAATAAATGATAAGATAGAAAAATAGAAAAAAAGCAAAAAATAAGTAAAACCGACGTGTAGCAATGACATGTATATTCCGCAATATGAATTTATCAAAGGACTTACCAGGCCATCCGAGACCAAGAAGCGAAGCTGGAGCTGCAGCAGCTGGCCATCCATAGGCTGCTCCAAGGACGGCAGTACCTGGAGCAACGCTGCCAGAAACTACAGATGGTCCAGCAACTGAACCGGTGACAACGGCACCTCCGTCAACCGCTCCGGATACTCGAGCAGGTCCAACGACTGGTCCCGAAAGGGCTGCAGGTCCCAAAGCTGGGCCAGCTAGTGCTGCTGCACCGAGTACTGGCCCAGCAAGGGCTGCACCGGGTGCCCAACCCGAAGGTGCAGCTGATGCGGCCGAAAGGATGGCGATTAAGATGCTTCCTACTACGGTATACATGATGATCGTTGAGTTCGGTGGGTTGTCGGAAAAGGGTTTGTTCGGTGACTCCTTGTAGCTGTTCTTGCTAGCTAAGGCAGATCTGATCTATCTAAACGCTCTCGACGACGAGCTTTTATACGAGATCGAGTATTATTGTCTTCGGTCTAGCTCGACGATCCGTACTCCCTCTTATTCTTTGAAGCCTAAGGCGGGGCACGGGACACGCCAAACATTCTCCACGGGGCTACCCGCGTGGCCGTTGACACAACGGACACCTTATCAACCTCGAACCACCACCCATCGAGTATCTCCGTGTGTCGTTCAAATGCCTCTGACGCCTCACCTCGATTTTACCTCCTACCTAAGCGTGTCTTATACACCTTGTCGCCTATTTTCTTTTTTTTTTTCTTTTTCTTTCTTCAATCTCCATTCCATTACATTTGCTCCCTTTATTCTATACAACGCGATAAGCATCCATGTCCGGTTGTTGTTTGCTTATCCGTCTTACAAAATAATCTTTGATTGACCTGTCGTCGCACGATCGATTTTCAATATTCAACAAGAACGCAAACAATTTGTCTCAACAGGAAGTAAATGCCAATTACTATTGTTTCGAAATCCCGATTAGCATACAAGAACGTGGATCGATAACGCATTATTACATGTAAATCACATAGTTGCCCTACGAGCATCGAAATTTCCAAGGGAAATTTACTTCCACGTATAACATCGTTTCTTTTTTCCTTTCTTCTCTTACCCCTATCAAAATTGAAATGTTATTTTTTTGATATACCACAAGAAAAACCTCGGATAAATCTTTTTCACGTTTACGATCTTACCCTTATAATACCATTAAATTTATTCTCTCAAGATCTATGCCAGTATTAAAACGTAACAAGGAATAATTATACGAGAATACACGTACGACATTATACGATAGTTTTATCGCTAACATTTATCCCGGATTTTAAAGTTAAACGAGTTTTCAAAGTTGCATCGTGATCTTGTTATCGTAATTTTACATTCTCGACAACGAGGATAATATCTACAATGATTTTTATTATATATTTCTCTGAAAGAGGAAGAGAGAAGAAAAATCAAATCACACGAGGATATTAAATGCATTATCCATCTTGGATACGTTTAGGCGAGGCACAGTGCCCACTCTCAACGTTGATAGTGGAAAGAAAAAAAAAAGTGTCGAGATCCATTGTAGTCCGACGCAAGTGGCGCAAGTTGTGATGGTGGTTGTGTTGGTGATAGATACACTTTGAACGTCCTGTCGCGGAGCCAAGTTCGTAATGGATCACCGAGTGTGTTCTATGGATCGCGTTTGGAATATCATTACTCTGTTTCTACTTTCAACAAGGTGATTACGATCAGCAAATTTCTTTCGCACCTTTCCTTCATTCTTTTTGTCCTCATCATTCTCGTCCTCAACCCAAAGTTCAATCTTAGCTTTATACCACCCATTGTTACAGGATTAGATCAACCGATTACACATACTTAATAATTAAACTCATAATAATGCGGGGGCGTCTCGTTAATATGAATAAAACTAAAAAATGCAAATAACAATGAAGATAGAAACAACGAACAGTTTGAACAATCTTAAAAGGATACTTCGTTGAGATTTTCAGTAATTCCGGGATATTACGGAATTCTACTACTCGGCTAAAAGAAATATGCGCGTTAGACGTGTTATCACTTTTTCCAAACTTGATATTGGAATCGAGCGAACAAAGTTCCTTACGTTCGACGTAAGTAATCGTTTCACGACTGACTTACCGGCAAACTTTTCAGATTCTACCCATCCAATTCTTTCTAAAGAAAAAGCAAAACTTCCTTTTTTTTTTTTTTTTTTTCTTATAAAAGACTGTAAAGCTGTGGTCAAAGTTTCATTCTCATTGTTCAATTTCAAAATCCGTTTGTTTGGCATATAGTTTCAATTCTTCTTATAACGTCAAACTATATATATATTCTAACAAATTTAGAGATATCCCCAGTAATCGGGAAAGGAGAATATATATAAATGAAATATATAAAACTGGAATGTCAGATAAAATTGTTCACGATGCAACGAGCATATTGTTGAGGAAGATGAAGAAATGAAAAAAAGAGGAAAACGAATACCACCATAGCGTAGGCAAGATTCTCGATCGGATCGTGATCTATTCCAATAAAGATCGTTTGTTGTTTGGTCCACCAGAATCGAGAACGCACTTGCGTCACAACGAGTTTCTATCCTTCAGAGATAGAGTGATTTTTCTATTCATTTTTTTTTCTTTTTTCCCCCTATTATGATTCCTTCCTTTTTTCGCTTTTGCAGTAGGAGAAATAGCGAGAAGCAGGTTAGAAGAACCAGCCCCGCCTTTTCACCCTTCTCTCTTTCGACAAGTTCAGTTCACCGACCCACGTGCGTTACCGTAGTCGGTGATCCCCGTTCGTATAAAAGCTCACTTAGCATCAGCTTGCGCGACAATGTCCCGTCGCGATGCTCGATGGAAAGTTGCACTGATGTTGATCGATCGAAAGAGAGAGAGAGAGAGAGAGAGAGAATGAGAGAAAGAGAGTTAGAGATTGGTTGCTCACACAAATCGAACGAACGGATCCTGATGCTAGTAGAAACGGGTGGTCCACAAGATGAAAGCTGGAAAGCCCAGTAGTTGAACGAGCTTTTCCGGACACTCGACTGTTCGACCCTCTTTCAAATTCCTCGTTAAGGGAAAAAAGCTTCACTTCTTCCGGTGAGTACAATGGAAATATCATGGATACTCGTTTTCTGCTTGTGTTGTTTGAATCAGACTGCAACAAGAGGAAGAATAAAGAAAAATCTTCTTTCTTCCTTCCTTCTCTCGTCCTACTCTTTACCCTTTTTTTTCTTCTCTTTTTTTTTATTCCTATGACTTGTCCTGTATCCCCGAGGATCATGGCCTGACGACAATCTGGTTCTTTCATTCTTTCTTTCGTTTTCTCTCTCTTTTTTTTTTGTAGGAAAAATGAAGTACAAAAATATAATTAACTTCACTGTTAATTAACCTTTGCAATTTTTCTAACGTTGTTGTTGAAATTGAGATAGATCGTATGGTCTTTTGATATTAAAATTTAGACAAGAGAGCTTATTTTTTTTTTTATTTCTAAAGCTGATGATTTTTATCTTATCACAAAACATTAACATATGAACAATACTACGATAAAAAGTTAGTTTAATAACTTTTGTTTGAAAACATACATAAATCGATATTGTTGAAATGATTTCTTTCGCACTTATCCGAACCTTTCTTTTTTTTTTATCGAAGGGCTCGTCGTCATTATACGAAGAAAATGATGATTGACGAAGATTGTGGATGGATAGACGATGATCTAGGACAACGATAGAAAAACATCGGCCACGGTTATTACATGCCACGCCTTTCCTTCTACCACGTTTTCACGCTCTACGACAACGGACAGATGGAAAACAATCGCGCTAACTTTCTTCATTTTATGTCTCGAGTCTCGAGGAACAATCATGAGGAATGCCGTCTTGAATAACACACGGTAGCCAAAGCCGAGGATCTATCCGTATCTCGTGACACGTTTCTAACTCTGACCTGTGTTACGTGACGTTTTGAGTAATTTATTGTAACGTCAAGGTAAATTTATAATATATATCATTCTATGCGGATGTTTAGAAGGAAACAAATGAAAGAACAAAATTCAACTTAGATATTTTGCACCACTGTCTACCTCATATTCTTTTAAGGATACATTAACACACACACACACACACACACATACGTTTTTTATTTCTATTTATTGAAATGTTATAATTTTACAATCATGTGTGATCTATATATATATATTGATGTATGTTTTAACTTTATAGATTATAAGATATCGTTAATAAATATATTACAATGAAGCAAAGAGGAGAATTATTTGACAATGTTTTATAATAATTGTATGAGATTATTTTATTCCAATGATCATTGTATTACGATGATGATAATGAACATATATATTACACATGTATACGTTTGATTGTTTTATAAAATATATCAAGAAAATAAGACAACAAATTATCTTTATTATTTGTTTGCCTAGAAATAATCGAATAATATAATATAATGATATATTCTAGCATGAAATAATATACCATACTTTTATACGTAATAATTATATATAATCATGTGCAATCAAATGCATGCTAGATAAATTCTAACAATGATGATAGAAATGTCAAGAATCGTAATAAAAGTAAGTTTAAAGTTCTCCTCTTCGTTTTCATCGTAAAAAAAAAAAAAAAATAATAATTGGAGATGAATTTTCAATTCTCAGTGATAATTTTTCTTTTGTTTTTTTTTTTTTTCGGTTAAGATCAGCATCGCTGATTTTAACAAGACTGATATAAATGGGTGACCTTTTGGAATTCGTGGGGGTGCGGTGTTCCATTCTCGCAATACGTCACGAGCAAAGGGGACGACGACAGGATAGAAGAGGAAAAGAAAGGAGAGGAGAGAAGGGAGGAGGGAAAAGAGGAAAAAAGGGATTACGGAACGGTAGTCTGAGTCTCGCGCTAATGCACGAGATGCATTCGCCTTGATGCATCGGAAACGGTGCACGTCGATCGGACTACGATGGGAACGCCGTGGCCTGTGAGTATATCTCGATAAAATATTTTTAAATATAGTACTGCGGGAAGAATGTATCTCTTTAGTTATTTTATGTTTTATCGAGTCATTTATTTTAATTATTAAATCGATTAATTTATTTCTATCAAATTTGTTGACGTAAAAATGGGATGATATATAAAAAAGAAATAGAATTGAACAGTGATGAGGGGAGATAGGAAATAATTCATCTGACATTAAACTCAGGAGAAGGTTATTTTAACATTTATAGATTATTATTTTTTTTTTTTTTATTAAGAACATATTTTTCTACCGTCGCATATTCTTTTCTCTTCAGTTTTTGTTTTGTTTTGTTTGTTTCGTTTCTTCAAGTCCCTTCAGTAACAAATTTAATAAAATTTAACGCATACGAGTATCGTACGTTCCTGTGCAAACATCTTGCGTAGAGAGAAATTATAACAGATTTTAAAAACGGGATGCGTCTCTAAAAAGAATCTCTAATTCCTGGAAATCTCTTAGTTTCCTGGAAATGTTTCTACAGAAAAGGGGAGAGAGCACATTTATTCTTCTCTTACAAGAGAAACCATCGTTATAAATACGCATATTCAGCTGAAAGCACCGCGAATGCTCCTAGCGTCGTCGTAAAACCGTGCGAAAGATATTTCAAAAGAAAAGATAAAGAGAGACAAACCGAAAGAAAAGAAAAAAGTCAGACAAAGAAAAAAAGAGAAGAAGAGAGAGAGAGAGAGAGAGAGAAAGGGAAAAAGTAATAATATCAAGTTAATGAATTACTTGGTTGGCGTCAGAGAAAAGGTTGGAAAGGATCCAAAAAGTAAAAGAAAAGTAATAAAAAAAAAAATATGATAAAAACGCACAAAGGAACGTAGCTTATCGTGTAATATATATATAGAAAGAAAGAAAAAATAATAATAATGATTGAAGGGATATAAGAAAGAAATCGGAGCATTTTAGGGACAAGTATTAAATGCATTTCATGGGACGTCACTCTCGTTACCAATGACCGTGATTATGTAATCCAGCATGAACACTACCGTATCCTGCACCATGAGCAGTGATTTTTCCCGAGGGACCAGCGATGATCACCGAACCGGCATGAGGACCGGCGACTGACGAACCACCGGAATGGGGTCCTGATACAACAGCACCGTGGGATGCAGGTCCTGCGAGGATTACTCCGTGTCCTGCGTGCCCTGCAGCTCCTGCGTATCCACCGTATCCACCGTGTCCTGCGGGTCCTGCATATCCCGCGTAACCAATATAGCCAGGAGAAGCATAACCTGCGATTAGTGAATTATTAACGTTGTTTGATTTACTATAAAATGAACAAGTTAAATGATTTCCATCAATTCCATCGTCGAAATCTATTTCAATATTATTTGTTTAATACTTTAGACATTTTTTTATAAGATAATTAAATAAAAGTTAAAACGTAGATTTGAAATATAATATTGATAAATGATATGAATAAATAATTACCTCCTAGCGAAGGAGAGGAATAATATCCACCATCGTACGGTCCGTTATAACCTTCGACATATGCAGGTCCAGCAACGGAAGCTGTGACAACGGCTGGACCAGCTACAGCACCAGATACATGAACCGGTCCAGAAGCTGAACCGGATAATTTTGCTGGTCCAATCGAGGGTCCGGAAAGAACGGATGCTCCAACGTGAGGACCAGCCACACTTGTATGACCTAGTAATGGTCCAGCCAAGGCTACCCCATGTCCAGGATATCCACCATGATAACCGTGTCCGTAACCAGAGTAGATTTCACGACGTTCTCGAGAGGATGGTGCACCGGTAGCAAATGTGGTGCAAACCACAAGTATGATAACCTGAGATACGAACTTTCGTACGGGGGTAAGTTTGTCTTATCTTTTATTCATAATTTACAAATAAATTTGAATACTTTGTAATTGATTATTAAGAAATTCGTATATGTGTACGTGAAAAATGATTAGAATAATTTTCAAGAGAAAACAAGAAAAGAAAATATTGCAAGTCGTGGAAGTTTGTGAAAAATCTAATAAAATATGAAATACTTACGAGAGCTTTCATCTTGCTGAGTTCTGATCGTCGAGTGTACTCGTGCTTTTCTTCGTCGGAGTTTATATACCTCCTGGTGTAGAATCTCGACCGCGCCCCCGTTGATCCCTTCAAATCATATCCGTCGATGGTGGTGACTCGTGCATTGTGCAAGAACTTTGCTGCCATCCGGCACACCCACCCTCGAAGATATGGCCCTCTTGCGCATGACCTTCCAAGTCATCCAAGAATGGTAAACCCCGTGAAAATGATCATATTAAATTTTATCTTCGGATATATATGTATTTATCTACCTACCATTGTCCTTATTGAATTTACTTATTAATCATTTCCAATAATACGAACTAATAATTATTTTATTATCTCTACGTGGGAGATTAACAAATACATTATATCGTGTCTATTAATTTTGTTTTATCATCGGTGAGATTTTAGTCATTTATTTGTCGACACGGTGACAACTACAGTCGAATAATTATTTGCTTTCAATATAATCGATGTCATATCGTATTACCGTGACAATCCAATTATTCATTTGCGTATCATAATTAATTAATTATTAATTATCGTTAACATATGTACAATACGTTAAAGATCATATGTTATTTGAAATGTAAATTATATCAAATAATCCATATATATATATATATATATATCCATGATTAAAGTTATCAAATTTGTAGACCTAAAATCTGTATGATGAAATCCATCCGAGTTCGTATTACTTCGTAAAATAACTCTCAAATTTTCTCATACTCTTTTCTCTGTCTCTCTTCCTCTACGATGAGATCAAAGCGACCGCAAAATCAAAGCGCCTTGAGGAGTCTTTAAACGTTACTTTCAAAGGTAGCAGGTTTTCATCGAGATGTTTCAAAGAAATATCAGAGTCGTGAATCTTCTTAATGCTTCAACGGACATAACGATTGGAATTTTCCTTTTTTCCATTTTTTTTCTTTTTTTCATAAAAATAATTGTAAATGGTGAGTGCACCATTTAACGTTATATTACCATGTAAATTATTCAGAAGACTAAAATTATACGCTCATCTTATTGAAGTCAATGTCGAGTGAAAAGATAGATAAAGAGGTTCTCAATAATTAATAGGATTCTCATAGGAAAGTACGACTTCGACCTTTAAATAGCGAAATATCGTGCGATCTATACTGTTCTAATTCTTTCGAAATGTACTTTCATCTAGCTCCACTGATATTATCCTAACATACATGACAGAGATATACTTATTCATTCGTTCGTCTCAATTAAATATTTCAACTAAAGTGTTTTAACCAAACATTTTATAGAACATCTTTAACTTGTCGTAATTCACTACCTACAAAGATAATTTTATACTTTAATATTACCACAATCATTTGTTAAATGATTTGTTAAACTCACACGAAGAAATAGTAGATATTTCAATAAAGAAGGTAACACAACGAAATATTTCTAACTATATATACAGAAAGATATCATTAACGTTTTCGATTTATAACGTGATTTGTTATACATGTATATATGCATGTATTCTCATGTTTCAAAAGGAAATGAGATGTGTAATGTCCGTTTAGTATTTCTACGATTAAAGTTCATAGAAGACAAAGAAGCTCGTAAGAGGTGAATTGTCGACCTTTAAAATGACGTTTAACAAAGAGAAAAGATAAAGAGAGACCATGGGTCGATCTAGTTCCATTCGATTGGCACGTTTCTCTCTATGGATTGTGTGGTGGCATCGATTCTCGATTTTATCCGAAGAAACGAGAAATCTAGCTTTGAAATTCGTAGGTTCTCGTTCATCGGAAGAACACCACGATTGAACGTGATCGATGTTAATGGTGAGACTGACATTTGCAGTCATTGTCTGCTGTGCACACCACCACCACCACTGGACTCAACGCAATCGTTATGGCTTATGGGAGTAACCTGCGATCGTACCTCATTGTGGGATCCGTGGTCGAAAGCGTTTGCGATAACGATTACTACGTTATGTTACCACTTTCGTGAAAGTTCGGCAGATGTGGTAATTTCGGAACGATTTGAATTAGAATTAATGTACCTTAGGTTTGTTTAATCGTATGATTAAACCATTTACGTTTAAAACACGAGATATTATCTATGAGAAAACTTCATTAATTTGTATAATAGTTTGACGGATACTAATCGATCACGAGATCACGAGAAATCGTGTAGGTTGTTGAATTATAATTGTATTATTATATTAGAAAACTAAGTGAGTATGCTTATTTCTCTCTATCTGTTCGTAGAAGATAGAATTGACCTTGGCCCCAAAATAACTTCTCTCTGTGTCATAATAACTTGTAAACAAACTCTTCTGAGAATAATCTTCAACTGTAATTACCACCCTCGAGAGAGAGAGTGAAAGGACTACGCCTCTTCGATCGGTCATTATTACTATTGGCCTGCTGCTTGAATTCCAAGTACTTAATGGCAAGAAATTACGAAATGCTTTTTTTTTTGTTTTTTTTTTTTTTTAATGCTCTCTTTAGAACATTATCTCCATGCCGTTTATCACGCCTTACAGAATACTTATATAATTGGTTTTCTTTATTTTATTGATTTAACTATTTACGTTTGCCAAGTTATCTTTTATTTATTCGAATAAATGACAATTCATTTTTACAATAATGTTTTATAAGTTTTAATGTTGTTTCTTACAGGTCTATAAATTTTTTTTTTTTTAAATCATTCTTTATTATATATTATACTTTTAAAAGTTACCTAATGGCAGAAAATCTTTCACGAGAGGATTATGCATTTTTTAAAGATATAACAAAACAAACGATAAAAACTTTTTCCAGTAGAACGCTAATGCAATATATCGCGAAAGAGAGAAAGAGAGTTAGGAGAGAATAAAAGAGAGATAGAAAACGAAAGCATTATTTATATCTCGAGACATTCGCTTAAACGATTTCACAGGAATTCAGTCATTAATCTCGATTACAAACAAGAAAGATACTGTTGCTAAGTACCTGACTACTAACGGAACATAAATGATTGCTGATCTCGTTAGAAATAATTTAATAAATGTTAATTAAAACTTATTAGTTATCTCTAAATGATATTCTGCAATGATTCGTTGAAATTCGTTGCGTTGTGTATCTTGATTCCTCTCGATTGTTTTCACTGAAACAAAAAGAAAAATTAATTCGATTAGAATAAAAAAAAAATAAAAATAAAAAAAAATGAAATTTGTAAAACAAACGTAACGGAGAAAGAATTAAATTTATCAATTAATCTTTTATCTGGCGTAGCATGAAATCTATAAACGGTGAAATCTTTTCGCGTTAATGCCAATAGAAAGTGTTGTTATTTGTTCGGTTCCTGGATGATTCGTTTATTTGATTACACATCCTACATAGAAAATAAAATTAACTATAATAGAATAGAACTTTTAGAAAAGTAACCAATTTTATTTAACACATAGGAAGAGATAAATACGACAGATTGCGGTTTAAATATCTAAAGTACAATCAGAAATGTAACTGGATTGTACAATAATGTATACTGGGTGATTCATTAAACTATTATCACTTAAAATATCTTCCTAATTTTTTTTATTTAGCGAAAAAAATGATTGATGACAAAGTTGAGATAATATTTTCAATGAAATCCTTGAAATAATACAACTTTGTTTCGATAGGTTTATTGTTTTTTTCTTTTATAAAATCAGGAATTAAATAGATTTTTAAAGATAGTAATAGTATTAAACCACCCGGTATATATTTATATATAATATATACGCATCTTGTGAACCGTTTAATATGGATGAGTATCTCCTGGGAAATAAGGAAGTGAACCGTTAAACAGAACTTGGAATATTCTGGTACAGATATGCCTCCGTTTCATATGACTAACCTTACTGAAAGCCTTCTGCTATTTTACGCAAAAGCTTTAAACTTCAAAATGTTTGTAAACATTATGTGAAACGACTATCGTTTTGCATACATACATACGTATTTCTTAATAGATCTATCAACATACATTAATAAAGAATAATATGCTAATAGGAAACAATTTTGAATTGAAACTAATTCCATTATCTTATGAACGAACAATCGAATACAATTTGTTACGATAAATCCACACAAACCAACCTTGATAATTGTTTTACGTTCGAATGCAACTTTTTTGAGACTGTACGAATGGTTTTTCCTATGAAAAAATACAAATAAAAATAGTATCGCTAAAAGCCACTAAACCACTTTGAAAGTATTAAACCAGAAAGAGAGATAGAAGATTATTTGATCGTTTCGTTCGTCGAGTTTGAAAACTACTTTTCCAAAAAGGAAATTATATTTCCCGAATAGCGAAATGAAATATTTCGAGAAGTTATCAAAGATAAAATCTTTCTCTTTTTGTCTATTTATTTCTGTGTACGACATATTTGCAAACGAATCATCGAAGATATACAAAAGTCACAGGTATTCAAGTTTTTCAAAAGAAAACGTCGATACAACGTACACGTAAATTTTGCAGATGAAAAATGACGAGAGAATGGTCTTTTATAATTCATAGAAAGTGATCTAATAATCTCGAGGAAACAAACTATATGACTTCTGTTATAAATCATAGAAGAAACCTTACCTTAGAACAATGATTTAACTTCGATGATTAATCGATCTTTTTCGTGTGCAGGTTGAAATCGTTGCTATCCGGTCTATTCTCTTCTCTCCAATTCCTATGGTCGAAATTTGGTCTATCGATTAATCGATGTCCACCTTTATTGTTTCGTCGGACTGGTGCAGGATAACGAAGCTAAAAAAACGACGGGTGAGTGAGATTTTTCGATTCTTATGGAGAAAAAGAGAGAAACAGAAAGAAAAAAAAAACAAAGATAAATGAAAACAAGATTACTTTATCAAGTTTTGTTACACCTATACACTCTCGCACAAGATATGCGATATAACCGAAATGAATTATTTTCTTTTCTGCTTCTCTTTATTTGCCATTCGAAAAATACACTTTGTTTTCGTATAAAACAAACGAGGTTTTTGATCTCATCGTATCGCGGATACGAGTACAATATCGATATCGTTGCATCGTGTCTACATAGCAATGAACGATTTAAGATAGGTCAATATTTGTATACACAAAATGAAAATAACTCAAAATCGATTAGTTTGTTAGTACTCGATCTCGTTGTTATTGATGATTTTTCACAATTCTCTAAATATATGTTGATATATAATATAAAATGAATAATCGTTAGATCTTAAAAGAGTAAGTAAGGATGACAGACAAGGTTGATTATTATTAGAAGGATAAAGAGAAAATGTTTTTTTTTTAAATACTGATGCTTTATTTTATATAAAGTATTGTATAAATGTATAAACGCTATAAATACGTGGTATCTATCTATGGTGGTGGTGGGGTGCTAGTCGTGATCGCAAAGAAAGGGTATGACGAGGGCGGGCGGGGTCGGGGGCCGGCGGCGGCGCGCCATCTATATACATTCGTTCGCTCACGGGAAGGGCTGACCTACCATAATCTACCGGTCTCTCCTTTTTCACTAACATATAAACATAATAATATAATATATGTATAGTGTGTGTATATGTACGAATACACATATGGTAAATGGTGTGTGTGTGCGCGCGTGTGTGGCAATGTGTTTAAATATATATATATATATATGTATATGTATATATAGTTACGCGAAGAAATGTAGAATAGTAATAGTAGTAGTATGTATACATATCTATATATATATATAAAAAAAAGAGAAGAGAAACATATAATGCGCATGGACGAGCAATGTAATATAATAATAATATTTATGCTTGTGGGTGCGGCAGTAAGTATAACAACACACGAGGCGTCGAGCCCCGCTCGAAGGGAGAGAAGAGTAATAAAAAAAAAACTGATGGTGGAAGAAGATATAGAAAGAAGAAAAAGAGTTTGATAATCGAAGCAACTAATCGGGGTGTTCAGAAAACAGAACAAACCCAGTTGGTCCGATGACGAAGCGCCAAAGCTTGTCCACTTTCCGAGAGCATGGCCGATCGTGTATAGCTTGCAACAGGCACGCGTCCTTAGATCTTAGATAGGATGCTGCCTGATTCCTGACCGGCTCGTGGGTGCGCGAGATCTTGAACCCGGCGACCGCGGTAACGACCGATCGTTTTGGTCGTACTAAGCGACAATTGACTAAAATATTTCCAATATTAGGAAAGTGTGCGTACCGCGAATCACGAGTGGCCGGGCTCACGATGCGCATTATCCCGTTTCACTATCTCTCTTTTTTCCTCTCTGATTTTGATATATTATCTCTTGTTCTATCTCTTTTGCTCCGTCTCTCTTTTTATCTCTCTATTTCACTCTCTTCCTCTCGAGGCCGATACGAGCCGGCCTATCATCCATCGAACGGGAGGCTAGGACAGATCGGTGAAACAACGGGATAATTCGTTGAAGTGAAAATCCCGTTGCGCCGAGCGCATCCTACCACCGAAGATAGTATAGATGCTATACCACTTTATGACCGATGCGCGTTCCTACCATGTTCCGAGATTGGACGAAGCTTTGGGAAGAAGACGTTGTGAGCGCGTTTGAGGATCGTCCGGAGACCGGTAAGTGACTGTGGTGGGTTTGCCGCCGTCGCCGAGCCGAGATCGCTGGGGTCTTGAACCATCTACCAACCGTGGGCAATTGGTGCGGGGATGATAGCTCCGTGGGAGCCGAGTCCGGCGTGGATGGCGCCAGATGGTCCGTTGATCACAGCAACTCCGGCGTCATGTCCGCCGATGCCACCAGCGATTCCAGGTCCACCACCGATGACAGCAATGGCACCAGGGCCACCGAGTCCAGCACCAAGACCAGCACCTCCAAGAGCGCCACCTCCCAAAGCGAGTCCTAATTTGAGAGAGAAAAGAGGTAGGGAAAAAAAATAGGAGAAAAGATTGGATTAAATGAGTTTCTCTAGGTGATTGTAAACGATTGCGTTGGAAGAAGAAAGAAGCTCTATATTTACCAGCGAGTCCAGCACCACCACCTGGAGCGGCAGCAGCAGCAGAGCCAGAGCTTCCATCGTCACCGTTGATTCCACCAGCACCAGCGTAGAAGGCAACACCACCGTAGCTGGGTCCTACAAGGCTAGCGGTAGCCTGGGATGGTCCTACGAGGGTGGCGGTTCCTTGGGATGGTCCTACGAGGGTGGCGGTTCCTTGGGATGGTCCTACGAGAGTGGATGGTCCAGCAGCAGGTCCTACCAAGCTGGATGGTCCGGTACGGGGTCCACCAACGGATTTGGCACCTTCTTGGGGTCCAGCGAGATCAGATGGGCCAGTCTGGGGTCCTACGTTAGCCTTGGGTCCTTCAGCAGGTCCGATGTCGGCCCTTCCTCCGGCTACTCCTCCGGAAACAATTTGTTGGACTCCTGCAGCTCCAGCAGCCGCCGCGGCACCAGCAGCGTAGCTAGCACCAAGACCACCAGATCCCAAACTGGAGGCACCACCCTGGAGGGAGGCAGCGGTTCCAGCACCAGCTGCGAGTCCACCGCTAAGTCCGGCACCTCTGCCGAGACCACCTCCATGTCCGGTGATGGCCAAACCAGCACCTCCGCTGTATCCACCGTAACCACCATAACCACCGTAGCCACCATGTGCGATACCGGCACGGGCCGTCGCTACTGCTAGACAGGCGAACGCGATCTGCAAAGGTACAAACCGGTTACTAATTTCTACCGCGGCGGTCATCGTCGAGGCTTTGCCACACTCTTCGTGCTTCCGATACACTTACGCCAACCGATTTCCCTCGCGCCTATATCAAATGACGTTGCAATTCGAGTTATATCGGTTTACGGAAGCGCTCTACTACCGACTATTACCAACGCGAATCTCTATTTTCATTGGCTCGTAGTCGATTACGAGACGACTACCGTCCGCGCGCCAGTTTAGCTTTCACTTGGAATCGCGATTGCTCCGTTCCCGGAATCCGTATGAATTGTTTCTCTTCGTATCTCTAACTTCCCGATTCAATTTTCGATACTTTTGTCCTCAAATTATTATGATATTATATAAAAATATCTTAACGAAATGTTTTGAGTTTGCTGTTAATCCTCGTAACGTCGTACCGTAACGTTTCGTAATTGGAATGATAGCGCGCGCGCCCATCGCATTTTCCCATAGTTAAGGCAGCCAACTTCTCTCTCGTTTTGACTTGGTTACCACGCCTAACGCGACAAGACCATATTAGGGGAAGAAATTCTTGACCGTTCCGTTTGCTAATAGGCACTTTCCTATACTCGTAGAAAAAGTATTCGACTTGGATTTTATGCAATCGTTCGAAACTAAACTTGGACGCAATCGAACGCACGATCTAAGCCACGATATTGCACGATATTGCACGATATTGCACGAGATTCGATAAATTAACTCGTATCGAATACGAGTTTTAACTAGAAATCTTCTTTTACGTTTTTCCGAGATCATTTTTCTTGATCTTTTTCATCTTTTCTTAGTAAGTTCGAAAGGAAGTGCGTTTAGTTAGATCGAATGATGTTGATGATGAGCTCGCGTTTCACGCCCGACTTAAGACATTGCACTTAAATGGCACCGCTTCGCGACCTGGAATTATGCATATCTAAAAACGACTTCTCGAAACTTTCACATCCCGTTAACGCGGAACGAAGGTTCGCGAGCCGTGAGCTGTGAGCCGTGAGCCGTGCGACGAGTCTGACCGAACGTTCCCGCGACCCTCCCGACTCTAAAGATCGCATTTCGTAATCTCTAACGTCTAGAAATCTCGCGAAAAGCACGATCTATTGTAAATCATCCTGTAACTTTAAAGTTATATACTCGGAATACTCGTCTATGAAGAATCTGCAAAGGATTCACCAAGGACGGTAACAACCGGTCTCTGATACGATTCCTTTTCAATGACGAGCACGATGATACCGACAACAACCGGTTTTACTTTGACTCGCAATAGACGACGACCAGATTGCATACTTTATGAATGAAAGTCGTAACAGTTGTATGGTGCCGATTCGTCTGAGACTACTTTCGAGTTTCGCGGACGACAAACAAAGAGAAATGGGTAAAACGAACCCTGACATTGAATCGCGGTTAGAAAGATTAATACGTTGACAAGGAAAATCAAATCGACGATTGGAATTGCAATTCTATGTAAGACGAAATGAATCGAAAAGTTATAGCAAAAAGTATGAAAAAGAAAACGGTTTGAAAAGTAAATGATTTGGCAAAAGGGGTTAAAGAAATGAGTTAAAGACCGATTGGTTGCACGAGAAAACTATACGATGATTATTTGTGGAATATGAGAAAGCGATACACCCCGGCGAATAGAAATCACCCCGTAATTGAGCCCGTAATATGGATCGTAATATAGATCGTAATATAGATCGTAATAAAGCCCGTAATATTCAGCCCCGTAATTTAGCCCGTATCGGAATCCGTAGATACTCACAAAGGCCTTCATGTTTGTTGTGTGTTTGGTGAGCTGGTAGACCGGTGAATGACTGACTTGGGCCGGGCCGGCAGGCCTTATATACGCCTAACTCTACTCTGTCCACGCTCCACAATCACCATCCTTTCGAAAGCAAGGCGCTCCACCACCCTCCCCCCAGAAAAACTATAATCCTTGCGTATACCAGTGACGGCGTAGTGACTCCGTAGTGGCCGGGAACCCGTGGGGGTGGTGAGGGGGATGCCGGGGGGAGGCTATTACTAGTCGTCGTCGTCGTCGTCGTAGTCGATATTCGCCTTTGCTCGCCTATACTCGCAGCAACTTGCAATTCGAATAGGATTCCGCTCCGCTCCCCCAATCTGAGTGCAACCTGGCACCACCCGGTCGTGACAACCCAAAAGAGCTTGTCTCTTTCTCCTTGACCCTTCGAATAATGATTCTTCGTAATACTCTTTTCTCATCACTTCACGATTCGCCACACGTTGTTCATCCAACAAATCCTTACTTCCCTTTTCTTTACAAGTCATTCCTTACCTTTACCGTAACTTATTCTGAAATAAGCATATCTCCATTCGTGTTTAAACGCGTGCCTCCTCGAATAATTGACGTCGTTATTATATTTCTTTCGTATGAATATAAATGCAACCGAGGGCGAAAGCAAAGATAACAATAAAAACATAATAAACGTTCGTCTCTTCCTTTTTATGATAACAATCTTTCTTACCTCGAACGAATACTTACTAAGTCACGGTATGTTCATATAATTAAATTTAATAGAACAACGTTAATTTCTTCCTAGTTCATTTAATATGGGCTTTTGCCTTAGATAGATGCGAACAATGATAAAGTTTGATAAAAAAAAAAAATGCCTAAAGGGTGACTTTGTTCTTTTCGAAAAAAGTTTTATTCCAAGGCATTCTTCTTAGATCCTGGAAGATCGTTGAAACTACTAAATCGAAGTTTTCATTTAGTTAGTTTAGTCGTTAAGGGAAAAACTTTGTCGTTTACAGTTGACAAAGAAAGAGAGAGAGAGGGAGAGAAAGGGATCCCAAAATGGCGAGGCGCAGTCCTGATTATGGCCCGCTCGTTACGTGGAAACGAGGCACCTTGCATCAAAAAGGAGTTTCGCGTTTGGAGCAACGCGAAACGTTCTAAAGAGTTGGAATTACGGGTCGTTGAATGAGCTTAAGAGACCTGAATTCTTTTCTCAATAGATTGGTTGCTACTGCCGTACCTCGTTCGTTACTTATTACCTCAATTTACTAATTTCAACTATCGAATAACCGTCTCTGAGCAACGGGAGATGAACGTTTTAAAACCAAAGGGATACCAAGAAGGGATGGAGAGGATCCTTCTTGCTAACCCTTTCTCATGTCCTTCATCATCGATCGAGGTTTCCAGCGAAGACTTGTAAAATCCCATAGAATCTACTTTGTAATTTGGAGTAGGATTCTACTTTGAAATGATAGGAGCTTTAAATTAAATGAACGGGATTATTGCCAAATTCGATGAAGTTTGAAAAAAGATAAAGAGAGACGATGAATGAGAGGGTGGAAGAAGAAAAAGAAGAAAAAAGAAGAGTTAAGAGAGAATGAAAGATCATTATTATTATCATTATTATTATTATTATTATTATTATTACGAGATTAGAAATAGAAAAATGTGTTCGTTCGCGTTACATCGTGCTAATTAGTTTAATACTTTTCGTCCTATTTCATGTTCTATCACGGACGCATAATTTTCCTACTTTGCAAAGTGAAAGCTATTATATTATTTGAAGTCTACGAAAAATGTTCCCCGATCGCGAAAGTCGCCCGCACGAATCTTTTCTAGCTAGGTAGCTAGCAAGGCAGCCCTGACCGGTTTGGAATATATAAAGCGGCTACGGTGTTCAAGTCGATTCTTTTGCGTTCTCGTTCACCCTTCGTGCACCGCCATCGTTTCTCGATCATTGCTCGATCGGCGCGAAAGTGATCGCACGCGCCGGTCGTGTTACATCGATCGATTTTCGTTATTGTTGTTGTTGTTGTCATCGTTATCGTTATCGTAATCGTCGGATTGTTTGCGCGAAAACCAAAAAAAAAAAGAAAAAATACAGACGGATTTTATATTGTCCTAATAATTTTTCTAGTGATGTTTTATCAATAAATTCTATATTTATCTATTTTATTTGAATTATATATTACGATTATTATAATTAGTCCTCATTATTTAATACATACGCGCACGTGTTATATCTTATCACGTTTTTCGATCATTGATTTCATTCGATATTATCGCACGCGAATTTCTATTTCATATATTACATTATCGCGAAAGGGAATTCCATTTTGTCAAACGAACATGGCGAATAAAAATGAAAGTCGATTTCCACGGTATTTCCGAATAAGAGAACGTTTATCGCGAATTAATCGATTTTCGCGATCGACATGCTTCGGGCCATCGGTATTCACGCATCCGCTTTTGATAAGTCAACTTTCTAGACCACTTACATAGTTGTTAGATCCGTGAACCGAATTCAAATACAGGTGTTGAGAGAGCACTATAGTGTCGTTTAACGGTAACGATCCTTGACGTTTCGTAGATCGTTAAATTCTTTTTCTTTTTTTTTTTTCCTATTACCGAATGAACTAATTCATTTCTTTTTCTGGTACTTAAAGAACGTGAGATAATTAACAGGTTTAAAGTGAACGATAGGTGCTATGGATTACTTTATTCGTTACATTTATTCGTATCTGAAGAAAAGAAAAGAACATTTTTTTAAATTTATTATAAAAAAAAAAAAAAAAAAAAGTGTTTGAACGATAGTTGAGAGTTTGAATCGATTTATTTAATAAAAGTTAAACGCTTAATAGAAAAGTCAAATAGTTTGAGTCTCAAAAGGATCGTTTAAAAGGATCTATCAAAGTTCGTACAAGTCGACATTGTATGGTGGTGTATGTACCTGCTTCAGGGACAAAGCAACTTATAGTATAGCAACATTGACAATAAAGTTCTTATGCATCGAGAGTGTACCAATCGGAGCGTATCCCTTTCTCCATGGGAGTACAACAGTGACGAATCTTAACCGATTCAGCCCTGACTTCGATCTATCGAAATATCTTTCGTAACTTTAATTTACAATGAATATATACATATATAACAAGACGAGAAAAAAAAGAAAATCAATAAAAAATGGAAATATATTTTCTTGTTATAAAAAAATATTTGAACGTGTGTATATTTTGTTAGAAACATATCGATAAATCGAAAGTATTACTCAAAGGTTAAATATATCAAAATTGCAAGTAAAATTAGTACTATTTCTTCTATATAATGCATTCTACTAGGTTCGCGCGTGTTTCGTTCCGTGCGAACGGAAGAAAAGGCAAATGGTTGCGCAACGATGCGCGGTTAAACGAATCGAGGCGCGCAAGCGTGCATGCGTTCTCTTACTTGCTCTTTCTCTCATAGTACATATATGCATACTTAACAGAATAGGTACAACCAACTAGAGAGAAATGGCAAGTTGTTTTGTACTATGCAGTGCCAAAGGCGCAAACGTATTTCTATAAAAAAAAAAAAAAAAAAAAAAAGAAAACCCTCCCTTCTAGATCAACCTATTTATTCTATTATCTAATTAAAAATTATTGCGATATATCCGAGAACGAAGGTCGAACGAATTGGTCAAGGTACTACTACTAGAACATTCTAATAAAATATTTCAAAGATTTAAGAACTTTCAAATATGTTGAATTATTTTTAAAATTATAATTATAATAATCAATCAGAAAAACAAGCATTTAAATTTCTCTTCTTTTTTTTTTTTTTTAAGTATATCTACTATACAATAATTAAAAAGTATTTCATCAGAAAATATATCGATACAAATTATAATACATTTTTCGTAAATATAGTATATACTACACAATAATTAGATCGATTTCATCAGAAAAATATATATTATATTTTATGCAACGAAAGGATGTGAAAACTGGGAGAGAAATTATATAGTATAAATTATAAAAGAGAACGAGAAGTAAAGTAAAGTAATAGCGAACAGGTAGGAGTGGTAGGGATATTCATGGGAAAACTCGATTATTCGTTTACGCCACTGCATAAACTAGTCTTGTTTCATGACTACGTGTGTGCTCCTCCTTCGGTGTTCGAGATTATTCCTTTAGATTAGTCGATTTCGACTTTGACGTTTTCTTTTAACTATGCATAGTATTTCGTAAATACTCGATCGATTTCGATCGATATTGTAACAAGGTACGATTTCAAAATCGATATCATCTCGATCTATGGGAGTACACAATCGTGTTGATTGTGTAAAGAAATGAAAAGGAAGAAGAGAGAGACACACACATACACACAAATAAATAGCGTCTAGTTCACGTCTCTTAACTCAAACTGGAATATGAGAGAGTCAGTCAGTAGGTTGCCCGGTTAGCTGGTTTCTAAGTTGTCTGCTAGTCTTTCTACCTATCCTTGTTTCTCTTTCTATCTATCTTTCTCTATAAAGAATCCCCTTTTCTTACACCGTGAAAACGGACGAGCGTGAGTGCATCCATCAGAATGCAAATTGCATTGAAAATGATTTCATTTGTTGTACGTGAATTCAAATATTTATTATTTGCTTCATTAAATATTTAACTCATTTATTTTTGATTATTTATCAGATCGTAATTAATTTGATAGAACAATTATATTTAACTGTATAAATGATTGTTACAAATAACCAAATGGTAATTTCATTTGATAAGTTTTAAAGTGCTTATTCGAATATATTTATCGTTCATGCCTAAGATTTGTAGTTAAAATGATAGATAAGCCTAAAATTTTAATGGAATAACTTTAATTGACTGTAAATGTACCGGATGCTCCAACTTTACCTACTCTCGTCCTCCATTTCTACAGTTTAATTCTATTATATTGATCCTGTTACATATGCTGCTAAATTATCAGTTGCCCTTTCGTTAAATTGGATATCTCTTTTGTTAAAAAGGAATTTTATTATTACTCTCGTGAAAAATAATAACTGGCAGTGAAATGATAGAAGAAGAAGAAAAAGAGAAAAGAGCACAAAAAAATAATATGAAAAGTGAATAAAATTAGAATGAGCGAACGAATGAACGAACGAACGAACGAACGAACGGTAGCTCAGGCAACTAACTGGGCTAAATATATGAAGAGATATATTTACTGTGAAAATTCGCTGACTGATAAT